TGCGATGCCTTTATTTTCAGGACATGATGAATGCGAGAGTCCAGGGATCTGGCCGATCACCGCTCGTGCCAACCTCGTTCTCTTTTTCTTCCACGCGCCCCCTCAGTATTGTAGCAATATTATAGACAGAAGCATAACCAGTGAAACATGACAGGTAAGAGCATGCTTTTTTGATACACAAATTCAGCATACCACTTCATTCCAAGTTTTTTTGTTTTTGTGTTCAGCCACTTTCAATTACTGAGCATCCTCAATAGCTTAGTGTAATACTAGCGTGTAGAACCAGCTTCGATAACCAAGCTCATAAGTGAAGACAGCATTACATTGATCAATATCACATACAAGTCAGCCCAGCCGTGAGATGTGTAGCAGCCTGCTTAAAAGCCTCATTTCAAACCAAGAAATTAAATTTACGCTGTGTGTCATGATAGTGTTGGTGACTCCAGGTTCACATTTTATGATTAACTTCTGTTGCATGAAACTGAGATATCCTAATATCATTCCCATCTTAAAAATATCAGTGACATTCACGGTCATTCACAGTTTTTAGGACATTCTTGTACATGAAAGAATGTATGTGAAAGACAAGACATGTGTCAGTACTTTTAGATTCACTAAATGTCACACGATCATAGAATAAGTGCAAAATTAACCTGCATACTTCAAGCTATGCATGCGTGCTATGTTTTTGTAACCGTCACCATAAGGTACGGACAGTACACTACTAACATATAGTTGCAATGTTATGCATCATTCGGTTGGTACCACATCATGCTATACTGCATCTTCCAATTTGTTTGAATATTTCAGCAATTTAATATGTGGCCAAGCTTCACAACCTATATCATACTTGTAGCTATTATATGACAGCATTTAGCTGTTTGCTAAACCTCCTTACCAGTAATGCAGTGCACTAATAAACATGGAAAACAAGTCACAATTGTTATTATTATAGTGTCACCGAGTTGACACAATCTTTTGCCATACTAGGACATGTTTTTGCTTTTTTTTAGATTGTATCACGTAGCCTTAGCCCACACAGGATATCTACTCCCAACTCTCTCACAGGCACATTAGGCTACTCGTTAAATGTGACTGGAACCATCCCTGCTATCTGTTGCATCGCTTTGATGCTCACAGACAATGATCAATATTTTCCCATATATAACACCCGACGACAGCAGTAGCGGATGCCAGGAATGTACGGCAAAACAATACAAGGAAACAGGTCAATGAATCGGTCTTGCATGAACCGAGATTCAGGTTATGAAAAACTCTGCACAATGAGCAGAAAGCTCTCCCTTTGGCATCTTAGAGGGGCTGGGAGCCCCACCATAGTCATCCCAATTTCTCTCTCCACTCTCTTTTAATGTCTGTCTGTGTGTACTACTATTTACCAAATTAAATGCTTTGATATAACTTTAGTCTTCTGGATGCTGACACCACAATATTGTTATGAAGATTTCTACAGGGAAAGTCTACAGATTTATATTTCAATTTACACAAAGCAGTCTAACATTTGGCTCAAAGAGAAAAACTATTGCACATGGCACTACTCACTGACTGTTCCGCACAATCTATTCGCACAATGCATAGAATTTGCCTAAATTTCTGTTGTCATATGTTATATTTACTTTGTTAAAACATGCACAAAATAGAACAGAGTGGCTAATGCTGGCACAGGAAGCTTCAATTTTGCCGGCAAATTTTTCATTTTATTCACAATACCTTACAGGCTCCTAATTGGAGCATTGTGTAAGGGGGGCGATACACGGTAAAGCATGACTTGTGAATAAATATAAAAAAAAAGATTAAATCAAAATGGTACATCTGGAAAGTGCAATGTGATGGAAACGACTGCCAAAAAAGCAAAAGTAACACCCCAGTAGAAAAACAAAACAAAGGAAGAGCGTGCACGAAACACGAACTTAATTAACATGAACAGTCAGTGATTGTAAAATAAAGAAAATTTTGGCAGCGTTTTATAATACTAGAATGCAACATAATACAACGTTAACAATTTGAAACATGAAATAACACATCTAGAGAGAATGAACAAGAAATAACTACGTAAGCATGAAATGTTCGAGTAGGCGGTAGAGAAAGGCTTCAGTTGTGGCAAATTGGAATTCAATATGGCCAGAAATGATTCCAAAATTATATTCATTACTATCTACTACCAGCCCACCTCATGTGAAGCTGTTGTTCAGAATTTTTCTTCCAAAAGTTGCTTTCTGGACATGTATTTGAGTTTCTCTTTGGTGACCAAGCTGGCAGTAAATGCCTTAGCTGGTAAATAAACATGCATACCATATTTTCTCGGCAGGCATATCGAAGAGTACCCTTTTGTAGACAACCAAAAAAATTAAACCATTAGTTATTGGTGAGCAAGTCCGCGTGATGGCATTCACCGAGAGATTGTGTTAAGAATGCCTAGTATACCCAAAAACATTTTTTTTTGTTCTGAAAATCAGTCACTATGTGGTTCACACCTTTTTTATCTTGTCATAGCTTAACTAGTTGCTACAGATGTTAATCAACATAAAATATTTGCACATACAAATTTGTTTGAGGGGCATTTTTCCCTAAATGTTTATCTCACTCGTTCATGATGCAAATTTTAAAAACCAGAAAGAAAGCAGGCATAAGCATCCTGCTGTGAAATAGCTGCCAGACAGGACCACGAAGAAACAGTAGTCAATGATCGGTGACCAAACCATAAGCTGCTTTCATTTCGAAAATCTCACAAAATAACATTGACAGCCGCATAGCTCGCGACACCCCGCAGGATTGATCGCGAAGCACCTCTAAAAAGGAGCATTTTTACATATTCGAAACCAGCTCTTTAATGTCTTCAAACTGCGCTACGTCTCAGACCTCAAGACCAAATGATGCTGGAAACACAACTGAATCAACAAGTATTAAAGGAAATGATGGCACTTTTTAATGGTTACCAGGCCACTGCGGCATCATCAATAACGAGCGTGCCGTTAATGCAGCAAAAAGCTCACGAATATGGCATGACGAATCCTATTCCACTATCACGAAGCGATGCAACAAGGATTAACACGCTTGTGCACAATGTCACAAGGTTTCTGTGGAACATGCACGGTTTTCTTCACATCTGTCTTCATCGCCTGGATCCGTGCCTACAAGTTATGATTCCATCTGGTTTATTCAGATCTGAGACAACCGCTCTCTGTCGCACGTGGCTTGGAGTGTCTTATACAAATGCCTTTGCTTGCCACATCGGATGGGCAGACAGTGCGGCATGTGACCATTGCGGCACTGAAGAAACCATTGAACATATTTTGTCACTGCCTGCAGTACACCTATCAAAGGCAGTCCCTGTCAGCAATATTAGCACGCCTTGACAACCAGCCGCTTTCAGAAAAATTAATTTTGGAAGCCGGAAAAATCGAACTTCACGCCGAAAAATGACGAATGCTATCTTGAAGTTTCTGCAAGTGACCCACCTCGCCAAACGTTTGTGACATTTCAGTGTGTGTGTTTCCACTCCCCCCCTTCTCTCATTCCCTTTCCTTACTTTTTGTTTCCCCTTATTCCCTTCCCCAATGCAGGATAGCAAGCTAGATACTTGCACTCCAGTTAACCTTCCTGCCTTTCTTCATACCACATATAAAAAAATTGTATATATATCTCTCTCCCTGGCCGGTGCCTGGAGGGAAGGGAGGGGGGAGAAGGATCTCGCGGTGGTCTCCGCCTATGACACTGCATGGGTTCGCGATCTTAGCAGGTGTGGCGTCAAGATGTTTTTACCGGGGAGGGGGGAGCAATACTGAGGCTCGGAACTTGGGCCCAGCGCTTTGAATATGCTGGTGGATAGAGGGGAGGGGGGCATTCGTATATTTTTATGGGGCAGCTGTACCCCCCTTCCCCGCTGGCGTCGCATTCCACGACCTCGCATTAAACTAGAGTTGAGTCAATCCTTCACAAATTTTAGTGCCTCTTTAATGCCCCACGCGCGTCACTTGTATTTACCACTCGAGTATATGTTTTGAACGCAATTAAGTAGCGTAGTCGCGACGCGCTTTTCTTCCTTCACAGCAAATTCACGCGCTCTTTCGGCTACTTTAGGCGCTTATATAACCCGCCCCGCTTTTGTCGGGCGCTTTTTCCTCAAAGGAAAGAACGATAACAACATACGTCACATCGACACAACGCCATCGCGGAAAACGCGAAAAACAAGAAAGAAAAAGAAGGATGGAAGATTAACAGAAGTCGCAAGGGAAAAATATCCCAGCATATACACGGATATGATGAATAGGGCGAAGCGTCCGTCCGCCCGTTCGTGTGTCCATCCATCCGTTCGTGTGTCGAACCGGCCAATACGCAACAGACATAGAGCAAGGTCGCGCAGGAGTCGCCACAGAGAAAATCGACTTGAACAAAGACAGCAAAGTGCAACGACCTCCGCCGTTTGACACCACTTTCGCCAAATTGCCCTGTTTTAGAGTTCCAACAAAGCCAAAGCAGATAAAGGAAGCTTAGCGCGTTCACATCACGTAGCGCTACACGTGCTGCTAATGGGTCGGTGCGACAACAAAGCAAGTGCCGATCATCGTTCAGACAGAGGAACGTCTTCGAGAAATGAAGCAATGACAACAGGAAAGGTGTATCAAGCATGCGTCGCTGCTCTCAGAATTCGAGGATAACTCAGTGCCGACAGTCGATAACGGCACTAAAATGCAAGCAAAAACGACCTAACGGAACTTGTTTTCAGTTGGAACCGCAACTGTGTTGCCAAGGCAACGAGCCGAGTGGACTGATAAGGTCGGGACTTCCGATACGGTTAGCGTAAATAACAAGACGCGCGACATAGCATCGCGTGGTGTGACAGCTGCAATCGTGTAACAGAAGCAATGAATGCGACGATTGTGTTCGCACAAAATACAACCGAATACGCCATACTACGATCCCGAGGATGACTGCATGACTTAACTGAGCCTTCAGCACAGCTGAATGGAAATGAAACTCACCCGCGCTTGCGCTTTGCCACGGCACAATTGCGACGATCAGGATCACACTCTGCAGAAACCATGATGCTGGAGCCATTTCCCGAGTAGCTGTCATACTAGCTGCCCCATACAAGCCCTGCCCGATGTGCCTCCTCCAGCCTCGGACGACAGGCGAGTCGCCCGCTGCACAACGCACGGCCACACACGGCTGTTAGCGCTGGCCGGCACGGCCCTCATCCACGCAGCTTCGCGTCCGCGCCGCGGGAGCCGCTACAGTCGAAACGATTGCAGCGAACCTGGTAGCAGCTACCACAGTAAACCTAGAAAAAATAACATGGCTGCAGTGGTATAAAATTAAAAAAAAAAATGACAACATACTTCTGAACTAAACTGTAACAAGTCAAAAGTAGTACAAGGAAAAGTTTTTTAAAGAAATAAATGAGTGTGAGTGCTTCCCTTTGTATGGAAATGCGAATACATTATTGGACCATGATTGCCTCACGCCATAGAGTTTCTCATAATTATACGTATTTGTGAGAAACTCTATGTTGCTAGGTGCCACCACCGAGACGCTTGCGCTATCAACAAGTCTAATTTTCGTCCCCATTGGCTCTATGGACATGCCACTCCATCCGACTCCATTGCTTGCGCTGCGCGGAAGCAGGCGACGCGTAGTCGCGCAGTAAAAGGAACGCGAACTTTGCTGCAGCAGCTGAAACTAAAGTCCTTAGTTTGAAACTAAAGTCCTTAATTATTTTTACTTCATTGGCAAAAGCGAAAAATCTAGAGACTTTAGTCAGGAGCAGCGATGACGCATGTTTATTCCTGCTCGCGTTGGTGGACTATAAAAACACTTTATTGATGTTTACAAAACATTTCACGTTATAAAGGCTTTCTGTCATATCTCTCTAATGGCGGGCATTCCTTTGACGGTAAAATGCTTGGAATTAAGCAATAAATTATGATTCCTGCCTCAATCACTGGATTTTCTAGCTGCAAATTAAAGATGGCATGGCAGTCCACAATGGTGATTTAGTAGCCCTGTGATTATGCCCCGATAGCTTACATCGATTTTTCTTCGCTACGAGACTGATTAAAGCCTAATACTTTGCATCTTTTCATTTAGCTGAGCCTATAGTATAAAACAGGCTGCATTATTTCAAGGGGAGTATCAGCACTGGACACGCTCAAGCAATGTTAGAAAGTTGGCGAAGGCGTTAGCTCTGTACACACCATTCATTCATCGCGAAGTGAGAAGTACCGTAAGGACTCGGCCAGATAAAAAAAAAATGCAAGTAATGCAGGAGAAGGTTTTAAACATGCACGAGCCATATTTACCAAAAGGCCTTCTTTAACTGCATAAAGCACAAATTAGGCTTGGTACGTTCGCAAAAAGAAAAAAAAACCTTTCGTCAGAACAAATGAAACAATGTGCTCTCAATTTATCATTTAATTCTCAAAAGGGCTATCGATCCCTTCCTCAGAGAAATGCTTTACTTGCCACCTGTGTAAACACTCAGGTGCTGGCTGGATGGATGGATGGATGGATGCTATGAGCGTCCCCTTTATAACGGGGTGGTGACAAGTATGCCACCAGGCTGGCTTGTAGACATTCCAATGCCATCTGGTGTCGTATATTCTAGGTGCCATGGATGCAATAGAATCAGTCATAGAATATTGGCCACTTCAAGACAAAGCATTCTATCTTCTATTAGATGCACATCAAATTCCTTGAGTATAAATTTGATGTCACCGAGGGACACAAGTAAATAACATGAACAAGTGCTGACTTTCAACTGAAATTTCATTGTACACTAAAGTTATATACGTGATGAAAAATTTTATGCAAAGAAACATGAAAGTGCCACACAATTTCTTGGCATAATAACACACAGTCCTTTCAAGATGACATTCATACCACAGGATCTACATCAAAATACACTCAAAGCTCGTTATAACAAAGTTGCATCTAACTTGAAAATAAGTTCATTATATTCAAAAATTCATTTTAAAAGTATATTCTGAACACTATAATTTCTACAAGACCAGTCTTTATTTACTTAATTATAAACAATATTTCGTTATATCCTGCTTCATTATATTGTGGTCTGAGTGTACACACATTGTTTAAGTACATCAAAAATAACACTGGCAGACAGGAGCACAGAATGGCAAAGTTTTTAGCTGGATTGCAGAAGCGACACTTTTTCTTGAAAAGGGCAAAGTACCAGACTAGTGGAGACAAAAAAAATGAGTGCTGCAGTAGTGTGCCCGAAATCACAGTTGGTGCTGTTCAGACATAAATTAGTCCCTTGTAGAATAATTATTTGTATGATGATGAGAGCCGAGCAGTTGATACTCCTGAGTTGCCATCAAGACCCACTTCTAAGGAACAGGCAGACAATTTATCATACATCGATTTCTAATGTTGATGGGTGAACTCTTGAATGTGGAGGGCTTTTGGTGGTCCTTTTCTCTTCCAGTTACAGCTCCAAGTCGCATTAAGACATAGCTGGTATTTAAAATGAGGCTCCACGCAAGAGGTTTCCCTCTCTCCCCCAAGTCTTGGCCAGGTAGCTGAAAGTCCTTTCTTTTGTGCAATGCAAGCACCAGATTATATTTTGAGGGCTGGAAACACACCTTCATTGCCATGTTTTGACGAGGCATACTCGAGAACCAGCTGCTGCAACGTCGCAAGACATGGATAATTTGGTTTAAACAGAGGGAATAAGAAAGTAGCAAAATATTTTCTTCTGCCGCCACTGGTCTAAAAAAATAGCCAAATTGGTGCAATGTAACTGAACCTGGCAACCTTGCGTGGGAAACATACACAGTTAAATCCCTTCATAAGAGGCATGCTCTGGGCAGCAATTTTTGTATTTCATATGAGATGTCTCTAATAAGTTACCTCGTATGCATTTTCTTATCAACCCGTATTTTACCGTAGCCACAATGGTGTCTCTTATACCAGTTTGCCTCTTATAGCAATGTCTTATAAAAGGGTTTGACTGTAGTTGCATAGACTGAATAACAAATCAAGCACAGGACTTACCAAGTGCACCGGGGCTTGCACCTCTACTCCTCCTAAGCATACAGGATATTGAACCATTGACCTCCAAGGTATGTAAGACTCAAACCTTGCTAATTAAATGCCTAGGGTATCAAACTAATGGTCGGTAGTGGTTATGCAATTTTTAAGAAATGGTCAAGCAATGGTCAGCATTGTGGAACCAAAATGAAGTGGCAGAATTCTTGCTCATGATTAGAATATACTTCAGTAAAGCTTCTGCATTCTTTTTTTTAAAGGGGAACGAGGCACTCCAACCTGACACTCGTTTGTGTAATCACTCACCTGCATTACAATTCAGAAAGTTAAGCCATGCAGCTTAGGTAGGCAAGACATTATGCACAGTTAAATACTGAATATAGTGGCTCACAGGTGACCACCGCACTTGAAGGCGACCCTTGTAGCATCCATCCAGTCAGTGGCTCTTGAGGAAAACGAAGACATGACAATGTTCTCTAACAAGAGAGATCTAGTGATTTGATTTGAGAAAAGACTAACTTTTGTAATGCACAAGAAAACATTGTGCAATGCTGTGGCAGGGAGCGGAAAGCGGAGAGATAAGAGAACAGAAAGGCTTATGCTGCTACCTAATGCCAGTTGAAAATTACAAGCACTCAAAAGAACCTACATTTAAGTTTAAACTCTTCCATCTTTCAGAATGTGGTATACATTGTTGTGTCATTTATAATTGTAGTTGGCTAGAAATTTCAAAGACTGGCATTGGACAAAGTGACAACGCACAAAGTGGCAGAAAAACTTCCACTTTACTTTGTGTGTCTACGAATGTGCCCATAAAGGTTTCGTGATTGATGAAATGAGAACCTTTGAGGGTTACAGAAAAAAATTATCGCAGACCTTAAAAATAATCTCTAACTGTTTCTGCCATAATGTTTTTTTCTTAAGCTTCAAATGAGGACAATTTTAAGACATTTATCCATCAAGACAGAAACAGCACAAAAACCATGCACACTGTAAACAGGTTGTGAACAAACCCTGTTTATTTCATGTGGTTACATTTCAACATACAAGTACACACCACACCTGAGCCAGCTTAGATATGCAATCGTTGTCAGCACTTGTATGCTACCAACAGCTATTTCCCAGTGCAGAGATTAAGTAACCACAAAATACAAAACACAGAAATCTTAGATTGCAATTTATTATGTTGTGTATATGTTTAGTCAAGACGCTGAATCCAAAACCATAACCTTAAGTAGGTAAATAAGTGGTGATTTCAAAATTCATCATTGTTATTCAATATGTACATTACTGTCATAAATGACACAGCATTTAGAATGTCAACAACAACATTGAATCCTCTGTAACAACAAATGTTAAGATATAGCACTCAAAAAATTATTACATTGTGAGGTTTTCAAATTACAAGTGATAGGTGAATAAGCATAGAAATACAATTTGAAAATACCTGCATAAAATTTAGCAGGAATGCTAAAAAAAACTTTAAGTGTGCATTTGCATAAATGCTATTTACCATCTGTACACAGCACACACAATGCAATCACATCAATGTTTATGCTTTTAGGTAAAACAAATGAGGTGCAATGCAAATTTTCAAGATGTAATAGATTATGAATATTTCGAAACCATTGGTACAATATTGCTAATTTGCTACAATACAACAAGATTCAGTGCATGATTCATTTCAAAGGAAAAGCGAAGAACACGTTTTATCATGCTACTTTTTTTCGTTTTCTAAATGCACCTGATACTTAAAGTCCTTTGTAATTTACATAAAGACTGTAATAACAGTGATCAGCAGTAGAGAGGCTGATAATTGAAAATGCGCATGCCGTGCAAGTGTGCAGATCATTATTTGAAGTGTGACAGTACGCCAAAAAGGCGAGCAGTAAAACTGTGCAGTACGATTTCTTATGCCTTATGAGTGGTGGAAGCAGATGAAATGGTCATAAGGATTTCAAGCAGTCCTAGCGATTTGACCAGTTTTGGAAACAGTACAAAAAAAATTTATGGCAAGGAAAAACGGACTCCACAGGTAACATTTGTATTTGCAGAAGTGCCTCAGCTGTTAAATTCTGGGCACGGAGAGCAGGCTGCTTCTTATAGTAATAACTAATGCAATCGAGCAGTGCACATCTGCTAGTGATAAGATGGTTTCACAATTCGCCTGCTCCAAGTAAAAATTTGAAATTATTAAATTCAGTGTCATGATTCAATGCCTCTATGTTATTTTTTTGTCAGTATGTAGTAGTATTTTCAGGAACCTGTGCGTTCGTATGCATGTAATTGACTTTTTTTGAAAACCCGCCCTGATAGCTTAGTGGTTAAAGGAACACCAATGACAAATATTAAGTCGACGCTGATTGTTGAAATAGCGGTCCAGAAACTTAGTAGCGCTAGTTTTGTGACAAAAAAGTGCTTATCTTGAAATAAAATCACGTTTCAATGGTCTGCATCATGTTGGTGCCCTTTAAATCACCTCCCTGAAAGCGCTTATTCGGACTTGACTGTTATCGTGCCCAACATTGCCCGCTTTTGCTACATGACCACCGACACCAGTAGCAGCAGAGGAAAGTATTGAACAATTCTCTGCAATCTCGGAGGCCATAATTCTGCTTGCTGGGTTCAACTGGGCCCCCCTGGACAGAACCACCCATCCAGTTTAACCAGCCAAAAATTGAACTTTCGAGCAACTCGCGCCATTCCTCATAGGCCGTTCTTTTTTCTATAAATCAAACACAAGTGGACAAGCAGCATTTTATTATGCCTCTTGATACGTGGAAAGTTCTTTTTTTTTTTTTGTTGCAGCTAGTTTGATTACTAGTGATTAATTGTAGTTGGATGCTCTCACGTCTTGCATATGACACCTGGTATGACCAACTAAGTGAAAAAAATTGTTTACACTTGAGTCACATGCTGGGACTACTTGAATTTGCCCTTTATTCGAAGGACCACCAAGTAAAGTGCTCCAAATCAAGTGTGTTTAAATCATCCACGTCACATGGATATCAGGTGTCCCCAGTTTATGCTTCTACTTGTCACTGCCACAATGTCTTACAGAAGGACACTCATATAGATAAGGGAAATGCACGAGCCTGTTAATTATCAAATATTGAAAGTGACGGCGAGCAACCTATAGTAAACAGAACGGAGTTCAGGTTCATTTGCAATGACATAAACAAATGCCTCAGTGACTAGATGTGTGCAGTTAAAAATGTATGTGGTATGGCACATAATTCTGGAATTAACAAACAGTATGACACATTAAGTTGCAATCCTAAAAGCTGCCTTGTGGAATTTTAAACAAGCCTAAAATGTCAGTGAAATCATTTATGAACTAAATGTGTAAGAAAATGCTGTGTACTAAAGAATCCTATCGTCACTCCACTAAGTACAACTTGTTTTTCTGAAGTTCACAGTATCAAAGAAGCCCTCCAGGCCAGGAAGAAACATTTTAAAAGAAGGTGTCCAGACATAGACCAAAATTATTTTAAAAATGAAATCGTTTTTAAAATCCTTTTAATCAGTGTCCGAATCTTACTTTCTAAAACTTGTTTTTTGATTACAATTCTGTATAACAACCATAACAGCTAAACCACATAAATGACAATGCTATAAGTACACCATGTTAGACAGAAGGTGGCATTGCAGAGTCATAGATTTAATCCTGCAATGCATTCAGATATAATTAAGTTCAAAAAGAGAGCACTAGTCACGCTATTGCCCATTCTCCAAAATAATGATGTAAGCATCTAGAGATGGGTTGTTTCTTTCGGTTCAAAAATCAGTAGACCATAAACCAAAAGGGGTGCTGGAGGTCAGGTTCACATCAATGGCAGCTCCAAGGCATCGCATGAACACATTTGTTTCATTTTACATGACATACAGTAAAAAGGACATCTCGTGATGATTTTCAACTACAACTTGGCCTCCTATGTTGGCCCTCGTGTCACAACACAGTGAGATAAAAGTTCATGCTAAGCTTGATGAGACAAGTGGCACCTGTTCCCCTAAAAGAGTGGTGACACATCAAAAAGCATCCTTGATGTTCTGCAGCTGGCGTACAGCCAAGTCAACAGGAAGATCAAAGTCAAACCCAGTTAGTCGATCAAGGGACCTTAGAGCATCATCAAAGCCTTTGAGAAAAGAACAAAGAGAGAACAACATAGGTATTTCATAAACATTCATACAGTATATAAGCCTGCTATCAAGTGTGATTCATGTAGCTGGGCACTTAGAAATGTATGTCGAAAACAGCTAATCACTTGTCATTGCGACGGTACCTAGCCCAGCAGGCATTGGCTAGTTTATTTATTGTGAGCGCATTCTCAGAAATACTGTCAAACCCACCTGTATTGAATCCACATACAGTTAAACCTGGATATAACAAAATTATTAAATTCCCAGAAAAATTTGCTATAAAGAGGATTTCGTTATATGAAGGTTCGCTACGAAAATTCCGAAAATAAATGCACAAATCGAACAAAAGGGAAACTGAAGGCAGAGCTAGCCCAAAACACTTATTTAACGGTAAAGAACTGCGTTACTATTGCCCATTATATGGACACTCCCGGTGGTTTTTGTCGCCGCCACCATGTTCTGTAACAAGACCATAACTTTCACAAGCCGGTAAAAGCACACAAGCACTACTGAAGCAGAGACCGAATGAGTCAGCCCATCTCTATCACCTGGAAGACACATAAGATAACATCCCCCGCGTGTTAGAACTGCTGTCAAATACTGAAAAAGAAAGGAAACCACCCGTCTTGAACGAGCATGACTAGCAGCAATGAACTTTGATTTTAAGGGCAGTCGTGATCGCTGCCACGCTTGCTGTCTTGGCAATTATCAGTGCGCTTTCAACATGAAGGGAGTGTGTGAAAAGAACACTTCTCCTTGGAGCGGCCATATTTGCTCACACCAGTGTTTAGTACAAGTTCCACGATATCGGATCCAAAAGAGTTGGCTGCCAGCTTTACTTCGTATAACATTACAATTTTTTGCCATCACATTTATTGCATTGCATTTAACATGCTGTCATGTTGTTGCCAGAACTAATTGGCCAACTTTGAAAGGTACGAGCCTATGAACTCGTGGCGCAAGACGAAAGTGCGTGACTAGACCGCCGAAGATCCGTCGTCACTATGGTCTTGGAGAGTTTCCACGAGCGCCTAATCTGACATCCCCTCGGTGATGACGATACTTGTCCGCATTAAAAAAAAAAAAAAAAAAGCTGAACGTCTGCGGGGGCCACACCATGCGAGCCCAGCGACACCATGCACGCGTGTGCACGGTGTTGAAAACAAAGAGCGAATGACACAGACACGGATACCATGAAAAGCTATTCGGTAAAGCGCCCTCCATGTGCAGCGAGGCCCCACATATGTGACGCTAATTGGGAGCGCGGCACTGCCAAAGCAAAAGTAGTTTTTTTTTGTTGTTGTTGTTAGGAGGAAGAAGGGGCACATCCGTGCATATGCACCCACAGCGGCAAGAATGTTGGCTTGCCCTCGCTCTCGCTTGCTGCGCCGTGCACGCCGCCACCATTTTGCGCTTCATCTGTGACGGGGCACCCGTGAAGATGCATGATCATACCAAATTCCGGAGCAAAACTTGTAGATTGTCCATGGGGAAAATTCATTTTATCAAGGTTTTCTCTCTTTGTTACTTTGTAACATAGAGGTCACAAATACATGTGCTTCTATGGAGCAACCTTGGAAAATAAAAAAGCTTTGTTATATCGAGGAATTCATTATATGGAGGTTTATTAGTAAGCAGGTTTAACTTTACTAATCAACAGAAGAGAGTGGAGTTAATATATGTCATGCAGGTTAAATTCTACATTTGTGTGGCATGTATATCAACTTTCTGGTGAGGTCTGCCAGAACAATTCTGAATGAGATGAACTCACCTGTCTTCTTCAGATAGCTCCAGTGAACATAATAACGTTCCACGAGTGGTTTGCACTTGAAAATTAATTTTAGCCATGTGACTAGCCTTTTTTCACTGTAAGATAAAGGGACAGATCGTTTACTGTTCTCCCCCTGTCTCATCATTCTATGTCAAGATGTTGAGAAAAAGCTTCAAATGCAGTGTTAGACACAATATTAAAGGAAACCTGAAACAGTTTCGACTATTTTGTACAAACACATTGGGCCATTAGACCAAGTCATTTCCAGACTGATTCCAGTTTTCTGCATAAACTGTGTAATTTATTACAATGCTCTAAAGCTGTGCATCGCTGCAAATAGCTGCGACTCATTCAAAGTCGTTTTCAACCACCCCTTCACAGAACGTCATGCTCTGGTAAAGTGACGCCACCCAGGTTGCTGATATGATTGGCTGTGAAATGCACAGAAGATGGGCTGGCAGGGCAGTGGCACCTGTCGGAGCAGATATCAACCACTCCACGACCTCCGTCACTGTTGCCAGACGGTGTGCGAGCTGTCGGGCACACTGTGTTACGGCCTCCGAGATTGAGCACAACCTGTGGGTGTGCGATCTCAGAGGTCAAGACTGGGAGAAGCTCAAATTGTCAAGTGCGCTCATGAGAGCTCTGCAATCTCCAGCAATGCCAGCCTGTCTCATGAGTTTAGGAGGCAAGGCAGATGTGGGAAGGAGGATATGACATAGCTGTGTATAGCAGCCTTGGTACACAGTGTGTCGTTAAATTTGTGGAGCGAATGGTTTAATGATGCTCTAGCCTAAACACAAACAAAACTTCAAAAAACTGTTTCAGGGTCCTTTTAGGAACAACAGACAATTATGCCAATAGGCTAGTGTGAATATTTGAGCGCTTCAAATATTTGATCGAATATTACAGTATTGGACATCACTTCGATTCAAATTTGAATTACAAAACATTATTACAGAAGTTACAGAAATAATAAACACAACTATGTCATATCCTCCTTCCCATATCTGCCTTGCCTCCTAAACTCATAAGACAGGCTGGCATCGCTGGCGATTGCAGAGCTCTCATGAGCGCACTCAACAATTTGAGCTTCACCCAGTCTATGTATGTATGTTAATCCGTATGTGACCCCCTGAAAAGGTAATTTCACTGAAGTAAAGAAGTGCTAAGCTAAGAAAACACCTATTCAAAAGAAAGCCGCAATGCCGTGAAGCCCCACTTCAAGGTTAAACGAACAGATCACCCTTCAAAAGATTCCTCATTTTTTAAAGTTTAAAAGCTTCTTATAGTGGCCTATATGCTCTCAACATAGTGAATTATAAAACTTAGCATATTTTACAGGTTATCACTTGAATTTTACCCAAAGTGAAATACTCGTACTATTCAAATTTGTTTTCACTTATTTCGAATTAAAGATAATGGCATTTGCACAGGCCTTGTTTTCATTTTTTTAATATTGTACAGGCAAGTTGATTCATGAGAATATGCTCATTTTTCTTTATAATAAGCAATTTAGAATATTCAAATTTTATTCGAAATTAATCAACCAAATGACTATTCACTTAGAACCTAAAGTTTACTACTTGCTCAAGCCTAGATGCCAAGGAAATTACGAATTGAGGATGTTATTAGTAGTAGTAATTGTAACGTATATTTGAATAAAGAAAAGTGGATGAAAAAATAACTTGCCACTGTCAGGGACGAACCTGTAAGTTTTGAAGAATGTCTCTGATGCTCTACCAACTGAGCTACAGCAGTGGCAAAATATTTTTTGTCTATTTTTAATTTCTTCAAATTTACATTACATTTACTATTAACAACATCCCCTATACTTTCCTTGACATCATTGTCGGTTAGGTCTCATTAATATTGTGTCTAACAAAGAAAAATAAACCCTTAGCTTGCAACTTTTTCCTTCAAACACAAGAAATATATTAGCATGCATGCAAGCAAATGCACATTCACACAAACTCTTTCACTTGGAATGGTGAGTCATAAATATTAGCGTTATAACAGTGCTTACTTGAGGGCTGCACAGACAAAAGCCTTGAAATGAGAATCGTAGCTCCGCTTCAGAGGTGTATGACTTGATATGATACTGTGCACTGCAGTCAGCAAGGCCTGCATAAATGTTGCAATTAAATTAGCACACACTAATTATTCCCATGGAAAAGGTCAGTTAGAACAAATCAGACACAAGAATAAATCTTCTATGTGAGCCCTCATCAGGCAATCATCCAATGCATATCAAGTAGAAAGAATTCTGGTAAAAGCCGTCTTAAAATGACAACGTATCGATCAACACAATTAGAACCGAACCACTGTGTTGCAACCTCTGACATCAGGGTATTTTATTGTGCACCCCTCAAGGAATACCGTAATTACTCGAATCTAACGCGCACCTTTTTTCCGGTTAAGCGAGTTCATAAATCGCATGCGCGTTAGAATCGAGTACGAACAAAAAAATTACGGCCAATCTATTGCCATCGGCAAACCTAAAATGGCCGCCCCCTACGTGCGTCGGCATGGCGTGTCGTCCATTTCTGCCTATGTGTTTCTCATGTGTGGCACTTCGTACGTGTGCCGAGGAGTTCGTCATCTAGTAGTGCATTAGCATCGACGGCGTGGAATGGCCGACTCCAAAAACTCGAGTGCACCACGATGCCGCTTTTAAAAGAAAAGTCATCGCGTGTGCAGAAACGGACGGAAATCGGGCCGCATCGCGGTCGTTCGGAGTTCCCGAAACGTGCGTGCAGGACCGGCGGAAACAAAAGCAGAAGATTTTCGACAGCAAAGCTTTACGCAAAGGCTTCAGTGGACCACAGCAGGGTGGGTTTCCGCAAATTAAAGAGCTGCTCGGCGAGTATGTGCTTTAGCAGCGAGCAGCACAGCGGCCCGTGACGGCAGAACTGCTCCAAGTGCGGGCTATGCAATTAGTCTTAGAAAAAGGTCTAATGCAGAGCCAGTTTAAAGCGAGCAGGTGCTGGCTAACTAACTTCATGAAGAGGAAAGGCTTTTCCCTCCGAAGGGGAACATGCATATGCGAAAAGTTTTGTGGAGGAGTACGATGAAAAGCTTCACAGTTTTCAGAGGTTCGTCCTAAATCGGGAATGCCGATCAGACGCCTCTTTACTTCGACATGCCTGGCACCACAACCGTCGAGAAGAAGGGGGCGAAGCAAGTTCGCGTGCTGACATCGGTCCACGGTAAAACTACAGTGACGGCAATGCTTTGTTACACGTCAGATGGGCACAAGCTCCGCCCGTACCTCATATTTAAATGGAAGACGCTCCCGAAAGGAGTTGTTTTTTCGAGTGGTGTGATCATGCGGGCCAGCGAGAAAAAACGGGTGCGCGTTGCAATCGATGTCTTACGTTTTTTTTTGTTTTTTTTTTCGCGGTGGAAATCGGGTGCGCGTTACAATCGAGGGCGCGGTAGAATTGAGTAAATACGGTATGCCATCAGGTGCTACTGTGAAGTCTAAATGTTACACTGTCTGAAATGGAACATCAAACTGGAAAAAATGCAGATTTGGTTCGAGCTAAATTTGTGCTAGTGTTTAATGTATGCCATTCACTCCCAGTTTAGTTCCAATTCAGAGAAATAAAGATGTATAATCGTTTGTGAGCTGATTTGCAATGATGAACCAATTAGGCACAGTAAATTCTATCATCAACACAGATCACAGTGTTGGCCTAATGTGCTCAGCTGAAGCACGCCAGGCAGTAATGCTTTGAGTGAGCACACTGGGAAGTCCACCAAGACTTGCAGATTGTAATGATACATTTATTTACCTGTCCATTCCCAATCATACATTGTGCTGAGCACATACAATGTCTGCAAGTGTCCTAAGGAGTGATAAGACTTTCTTGCAGGCTATACTTTGTTCATGTTGAACGAGTGGCATACTGCATAGGCCCAAAATAAGCAGAAAAAAAGATATCAGAGGTATCGGATGTTCGTTGTACAAGTGGTGTTAGATATATCTTTGTCAGTAGACTCAGCTTGTCTTGTGACAGTGCATAAGAGATTCTTTTCCTGCTTTCTACACGTGTAGTGTTTGCAGATGTGTGATGCTTAGTGCTTGCACTTTTCTTGCATACGTGTGGCTGTTTTGTTCGTCCTTGGGACACTTGCACAACCGCGTTCACAGAGGTTAGGAGATATTCGCACAGGGGCAGCGCGTGTGCTGTGTATGCCTGTATATTTGCTCGTAGTTCTGAAGAAATAAACAGTTGGAAGTGACGGCGCTCTTTCCTGTCTCTTTTTCTGCTTCCTTCCTTTACCCTTACGTAGTGCAACACCCGTTCTAAGGAGGTGAGAGGAACTGGCCAGTTGCTATATAGAAAACAGCAATAGCTGACTGAAAGGTATATAAACATTAATTGCAAGGATGTGAATCTCCAATTGTATGAATAACATCTGCAAAAGACATACTAGTGCGGAAGATTAACACAGACAAAAAAAGGCACCACTCACATGCTTTGGCGTCTCCATTGTAGAGGCAACAATGTCCAAGTTGAAGCTTTCTGACAACTTGCGTGCAGGGGAAGCGTTGTACTGTGCACCGTTCTGGCAGATTGGAGAACAAATATGAAAATCAATTGGCAGTGTGTCGCAGCACCTGAGTACAGTACACATGGATTCAAGTACAACATAGAATTCTTCAGTATAATGACTGGTATGCGCGATCGCTCGAAACAACCACATCAAGTCGCAGACTATTACAGTCCTCTAACAATAATGTTGGCTTTATACTACCAGTCTGAGTTGAAATCGTGCTGGTATGACCCGCACTGAAGACAGTGGAGACGTAAGTATGCAGATTACTTAGCCCTAAAATGTCCTGTTTTTATCCGTGAGTACTGTACATGAGACAGTGCAAAGCTTACCTTGATCTCGTAATACTTTAGGATGAGGTCCCACGCATGTAGAAGTGCAGGTGCACTAGCCGAACGCAAGGTAAAACAGCCCAGGGGTACAAGGCTGCTGCTTTGCCCTACCTGAATTTAACAAACAAGCAAAACAGATGACAGCCTTTACTGCTGAGTGGCAGCTTTTTTTGGGGGGCTATGTACAATGACATGTCTGCTATTATCACTGGTTTATTTTCACTCAAGTTGTACAGTAAAGTGATAAATCACGGTGTACACAGTTTAATACCATGAGAAAGTACATTGACCACGAGTTTTTATCTCTAAAAAATACAACATATGAATTATTTGTGGTCAGCACCACACTGAGACTGTCAGTTTTCACAGAATAGATTTGTAATACCATCTTTTACTGTAACACTAAAAGAAGACATACTATGTACACTGATTCATCACAAATTTCATATGTATGTCACCATTCTGTTGCACTGAAATATACATTTTTGTCATAATACCAATATCAATGCATATTTCTTAACATTTTATATATTATCGCCTTCGTCTTTCTCGCAGGACACATGTGACATTTCCATCTCCACCAGTGTCAGCGACGTGAAGACAAGAATCGTATCTGAAGAAGCTGAGAAAGTAGCAGTGGTTCGGTCTCTTTATCTTTATTTACCGCACGCCAGAGAGTTCCTCATCTTTTTCGTAGTTGCGTTCTGCATAAAAGCGTGCAGATGCGCGTATGCACTGTCGCCTTCGTCTTTCTCGCAGGACGCAGGTGAATATATGAAACAAAAACCTGGTGTACTAAACTGCATGCACCTATGAAATGCCATATTCGTGCAGTGAAAGCTTGTTAATTCAGATTTCATGAGACCAGAAAAAATGTCCACAATAACCAAATTTTGAAATATGGATAAAGAAGTCAATAAACAAATGTTCTCGTCTATACACTTCCATGTCTTGTTGAATATGTAAATTCTGGACTTTGAAAACATGCGGTGTAAAAGCCCCAATTTTCGCCACTTACAAATTTATTCACATTGTGGTCGTGGCTCAAGACCTTTCTGTTTTAACTAACTCCTAACGTGTTAACCTGAAATACTGTTACTACTGTTATTATACGGTTTGTGCTATTGACAATAAGGATGTCGACAGCAACGCTTCGGTTCGGTTGTCCGTGAACGTCGCGTTCACTCTTTCGCGTCGCCCATGGGCGGCTACTCGTGCTCGGCATGCTTTGAGATTAATTCAAATTAACTGGGTTGCAGCCAAGTATGTCCAAATTAATGAGAGTTTGACGTCATTCAACAATGCATTTCAATTCAACTCAATTCAATTCTTTATTTGCAAACTGTGAAACATACAGAAACATCATGGCTGGTTGGACCCATAGCCGAAGGCTAGTTGACGATCCAAAAAATAAATAACAAAGGGTTCCATGTACAAAAAAGATATATCACACGCATACAGATAGTTATCGTGCATCCTTAATTTGCACGAGTGAAACAAAGGGAGAGCGAAAGTGTCGGTAAACGCACAATTATTTTTAACAGTTCTAACTTGCTGGCTCGGATAACAGAATGTGTCCATATTATCCAACTTTCCTCATTAATAGGTGTCAAATTAACACGCTTTTACTATATACATATTTATACGTAGATGCGCCCATGGTTTAACCATCGAAGTCATGCATAGGTGCTTCTCCATTGATTTACTACCTCTTGAAGCTAAATTTTTGAAGGTGAATGGCAATCGTGACAATAACGTGAGGGGAAGGGTCCCAGCAAGTTTGAAACGCAAGCACACTAAGAAAGTAACCAGCCCAGCCTTGTCATGCGCATTACTTTCTTCTTGTGCTCTCACTTAAAACTTGTGGGACACCCTTCCCTTTACATCATGTGCTATCAACTGGCCCAGAAAACGACACTGCTAAAGTGACAATGGCAACAGAGCTTCCCTCACCTCCATCAAGCCATGCTGCATCAAGTCGCGCAGAGCAGTGGCCAGATCTTTCCTGACAGCACTAGTCAGTTTCTCATTACACAGCACAGCAGGAGCCTGCACAAAAAGCACAATCCATAGGAGTTCTCTCCCCACCACATCATGCAGACCTTTACTTAAAGGCGCCACGACAACTAATTTTGCTTTTAATCTGTGTTATGTGGAGTATACTTGGATGGTTCACAAACAAGCCTGCAAAATTTCAATGCATTTGATGGAACACTTAATTTACAATGCATATATTTATAAACTTGTGAGAGGCCCAAGAGTTTGACAACTCTGGCGTATTCACGAGCCATGACGGAGCAAGTCGCTTTCTTTCTGAGCATCTGTATTCTAGCCAAGGATTTTGTTTTGTGGTCAGCTGTGCGTACAATAGAGATATTTCAGCTTTCTCCAGCTTGGCATTGAAAATTCAATGATTTGCAGCAGCTGATATTTAGGTAAAAGATGACAGCTCGACTCCATGAAGAACATGATGTCACACACGCCATGACAAAACGGCGTGTGTGAGTGGGAGCAGTGCATGGTAGCCAACGATTTCTAGGGCTTACATTGCAATCAAATATTCTTTTACAGACCGTTTTTTATATATGTGCAGGAACAATAGACCCTCTAATTCTACTTTTGATTCAAAGCCGCAGTTTGGTGAGTGACATGTCATGTCCCCATTAAAAAAACCCCCATACTTGAACCAAAATGTGCTAAACAATATACAGGTAGTTACGTTGGTCAACATTTACATGTCTGGAGACCAGCAGCTGTCCCTAAATGTATGTATACAAGCATGAGCTAAAAGTTTGAGCAGAAATATTTGCTTTGGGGTCTACAAAAAACAGATTTCAGGATACTTCTACTATGGCTAGCACAATGTGCAGTGGCCTCTGCTTGTTAAAACGACAGCCTAGAGCAATCTCGGTAGACTTACATTGTCATCGTGAAAAGCCTACCGCTACCAAAGTCACAGAGGAGCAATCATAACGGTGAGGACATCAGTGACTGCGAAAAACAAGCTAAAAATCTCATGACTAAATGTGCCCACACTTCCTAGGAAGTATCCACAGCAGCTTTTTGACAAAATACGAGGGAGAGAGAAGCCTATGTAACAGCACCACTTCCTGGCACCTGCTCTTCTATGAAAGCAAAATACATACATGCAGAAATTGCAGCGGATAACTGCACAGCATATTGACGTACTGAATAAACTTGTAACTAAGAACAATCAGCTCCTAAAGCTCGAATGGACTAACTATGAATTGTTCACATTGAGGCAGAGAGCAGAGCCATAGAGTAATAACAATCCCACTTAATGCTCACATCTTCAGAATCACTGGTGTAGTCACTGTCTACACACTGAGACTCGTGTTTTCCCACCAGCTCCAAGACCTGGTTTATAGCAAGCTCGAGACATGCCCGCAGATCTCTGTGGGGAAAAAAAAAACAACCATTACACTTCAAAACATGGGTATATCGGCTACAAACAAAACACAGCATTACAAACAAAAGCACTGCATAAACCCATTTATGAGGTGAGCAAAAAACAGAAAGTTGAGGTAGGCACTAAAATATTGTGCTCTGAGCTTGAGGCAGGCACTCAGCTGAGCACGATTCATTCTAGAAGTCTAGCTCAGCTGTCTGTTATTTTGTAGCCACAATTATTGAAGTGAAGTGTGAACATATAACAAGAAGAGATTGCTTAGCTATTGACAAGTGAACTTCCAATGGAGCTTCTGGCTCATTGAAGCGAATGCATGTGCACACATGACTACTATTGTAATACCACACACAAACAGGCTTTCCTCTTCTGTGGGCACAGCTTTCAGTAGGAGCATATGTACACTCCCAAAAGGGACGTGCAGCAGACGAGTGAAAATTACGTCCCACAACTTTTCTCACACATCAATGTAATCCTCATCACAATACTCCTCATTAAACATAATAAAATAGTTCTCCTCATTTCACTACAGCATGCATTTCATCGTCATTTTCATCGTCACCACATCCTTGAAATACACTCAAACTTTAATGAAATACACCTAAACAAAGTACACTAAAATCTTTAGAGGTTTCATGGTGGCTTTGTGCTACAGAACAGGTGGTAGTATTTTTCTTTCCCTTTTTTAACTCAAACCTTGTTATAATGAACCCATATATAATGAAATAACTGTTATAACAAAGTAAATGAAGAATTTCCTCGCAATTGATGTAGTGTTAAGAATACATCTTTACAATAAATTTTTGGATAAAACAAACTTATGTTCATGTATGATGCAGCTTTGTTATAATGAGGTTTGATTGTACTACCACCACTGATGTAGCCAGGGGGGTGACACACCGGGTCCGTACTCCACCCCCTTCTGATATCTTTTTTTTTTTGGCTATGGCATACAGAGCAGAAAATAACACTTGACCACATTTCCACCCTCCCATACCCGAAAAAAAATTTCTACCTATGCCCCTGAATAACACCAAAGCACTGCTTTGTATTATTACAATAATTTTTTTAGTTTAACATCCCAAAACTACCATATGGTTAGGAGAAACGTGGTAATGAAGGCCTCCAGAAATTTTGACCAGCTACTTTGATGTGCACCTAAATCTAAGCCCACTGTTATGTCTACTTTAAGCTAGGAAAATCAGAGAACCATAGGCAGCTAAAAATCAGTATAGTAGGTACTAAGAACATTTTCGAGCAATGACGAAACTGATTGCCGAAAATTCAAGCACTGCGCATGCAAAGTACTACATGGAGGCGTTATCACAGTGCAGGATTGAGCACCACTTTAAACAAATTTGGTTACACACAATGCACAATCCTTCAGATAACTTGAGACCTCAGTGTGGAACGTTGCACGAACAGTTTAAAGATTGGGTACAAATTTATGATACACTATTCTACAGAAGTAGAAAAAAAAATTATGAATGTTACTTGTACTACGTGCACTCATGCAATCCTAGTGTCCTCTTCATGGCTCCTTGAGATCTGATAAGTGCAACCAATTCAAGTTTTGTCACCAATGACAAGCTTTGTCACTGACATGTGAATTTTTCCAACCAATGTAACAACTTTTCCATCACAAATTTTGCTAAGAAGTTAGCTGCATTGCACTGCCTTGGCAAAATTTTTCTGGTTTTTAAATGTTCACTCAAAATCTAAGCAGCAGATTACTACAAAAGAGAAAGCTTTCAGAAATGAGAAATGAGAAAGCTACAGCATTTTCTAAACTAAAGCTACAGCAATTTTCTAAATTTCAGCTGAAATTCAAGAGTCGTATGTTTGACAATCAGTTCAGTTCACTATATTATCTTCCAGACATGTCACACGTGATTTTGTATTTCCTATAGTGGGATGTATCAGGGTGCACGCACAGAAGCTTTCATTGCACTCCATCATATCCAAGGCCCATTACCGAAGTAATGCACATAATTATCTTGCAATGCTACTTTGCATGGCAGCATGATAAAACAGGTTGGACAATGTGATGGGGGGGGTCTCTTCTTCTAATGGAGCCAGTTTTCAGTTCACTCTGGGCAGTGTGAGTGGAAAGACGTGCCTCTGTGTAAAATGTTTCTTTTTTTTCGACTTTGTAACGCGGCACAATGCAGCGTTCACTTCAGCAGCAATGTGCTATCAAGTTCTGCATGAAGCTTGGACAGAATCCCATCGAAAGATTCACACACTTCAATAGGCCTTGCAGCAATGACTGCATTTCAATGTCACAGTTCGGGTGGTGGCAAAAGGAGTTCAATTGAGGAAAGCAGACAGGAGGTCGCTCACAAAACCCAAACCCCGTTCTAGACACCCAAGTATGACCAGAATTGATGAAAGCATAGATCATGTGTGCAAGGTCTTATGTTCCTACTGTCGACTGAGCATCTAGCAAATTGCTGACACTAATACATATGTCCACATTTGCAGTACATGGAATAATGACCAACAATATGCAAATGTGCAAAGTCTGCGTGAAGCTAGTGCCGAACGTGTTGATGGAAGATCACAAAAACTTTGAGTTCTGGTATGTCAAGAATTGTTGGTTTTGATTCAAAATGAGTTACTTTTTCTCAAATTTGCAGTAATCGCAGACATATACTGGATATTTAAGTATGACCTGAAATCGAGAAGGCAGAGCAGCGAGTAATGCACAATATCATCACCCCGATTCAAGAAAGCGTGAATGAGCGAAGTATCGCATCAAAGCGATGCTCCCTGTCTTCAGTGATGCCCCAGGAATGGTCCATTTTTTAGTTTGTATTGCAGGGAGAAACTGTCAACTCAGCCTTTATAGAGGAGCTCAAGAGATTGAAATGCCGGGTCACGTGTGAGGAAAAGAGAACTGAAAAGCAAGCTTTGGGGGACTGTGTAAAATATGAAAAGCATGTTACAACGTTACTGAGAATATTCTCAAGTACTTTCAGGGTGCCTGAAAGGCATCTCAAGGACTTTCAGGCATGGCAGACACATATCTGCAAATCAATTGATGCAGTATAAGAGTATATTAAAAATTTTATCTATTTGAGCTGGTCCAATCAATAAATAAATTTTCTCTAGAAAATGTGCATTATCTTTATCACGAACCTTGTACGTATTTGATTAGTTGCTGACGAGTCGTCTACTAGGTACTCATGCACAATCTCTCAACACTAACATTGATTCGCAAAGTGATTGTTTGAAAATGCAGCCACTGTATAACCAGCACTGTTCTTTCTATGAGGCGTGTAAGAGAAGCCTTGAACAAGTGCCCGTTTCATTGGTGTAAAATAGTTTAACGTTGGCAGACCTCCACTCACCCCCAATGATTCCCCTTTGGCGTCCTCTTCATGATGTTTCTCTGGAAGTTTCGTCGCCCGCAGCCAAACTGGGTCAAAGCAAACATGTGCAGCAGTGCCAGCATGCGTCGTAAGATCTTGTTCTGGGCCTCCTGGAGAAGGAGAGCAAGGATTTCCAGCACTAGCCTTAAGAAGTATCGGTGACAGATAACATCAGGCGACAGAGAGAATAAACATCTTATATCGTTATTCTTTAAGAGTCATCTTCATGGTAGTCTTCCCCTTCCAGTGTAAAAAACACGAGTTTTCTTAAAAATTACCGATTTTCATTTTTCTATGCTTTGATAAGATTGTTGATAAGAACCTCTATTGTTCTGAAAAAAAAAATCTATGTTGAGACTCAGCTAGAAATACTTTAAAATAGCGTCTAAAAAACACAAGATGGCTGTTCAAAGGCCAAAAGTGTGCAGTCTTCTAGCATTTTGTCACTGATGATGCGCCGGCGCTCGCCATTGTTTATCTCATGAGATGAATAGCTAAGCCTCACTTTTTCAATAATAATCGTTTCCAGCGCTGCTGCAGTACAAGAAAGAATAACAAGAAGCATACTTTTGCAATGTTTTTTGAGCCCTGCGACTGGCTTTTAAATTAGGCGGTACGGATCGGGGACTGCCATTGGCCGCTGCGCGTTTGTATGCGCTGTGAAGCCTGCTTGCGGTGTCCATGTCTCGTTGAGCAGTGCAGCTGAGCAATGCTTTTCTTATGTGTTTATCTTCATTATGGATGAAGAAAGCCATAGCTCGCATGATAGCTATGCTGTCAATGCGAAGGCTGTCGTGGCGATGCGCTTGTAGGAATCGGCTACGAGTAGCTGGCTCGATTTGCGACAATTCTTGGCTTGCAAAAGCCAATGCATCCTAAGTCCTTCCCAGCCATCAGCCGGAAAGTCCGTGATGAGGCAATGAATGCCATCTGTGCCAATCTTGCGAAGTCGAGGGAGCTCACAGTGAAGGCAGTTAGCGAGGACATTGCCGTTATGTACGACAGTGCATGACACAAACATGGCTACAACAGCCACAGTGGCATTGGTACTGTTGTGTTCCTCGACACTAAACTTTTGTTTAGATTTCGAAGTCCAGTCGACTTCTGCCTAGCTTGCAGCCAGCACAAAGCTCTGCCAAAATGGAGCGAAAAAAGTTTGGCGAGTGTTTCATGGCCCTGTCCGTGTGCGAAACGTCCGTGAGTAGTCAACTCGAAAGAGCTCTCAGGGACAAACTTTTGGTGCTGGTGCATTTTAGTGGCAGTGGCCACTACAAGAAGGATTGTTCTTTTTTGTGTGCAAACTTCATTGCATTTAATGACCACGACCTGCTATATAAACTTCCGACCTGCTCATGACGTTGCTCCACCTGTCGCCAGATTTGCTTTTGCTTTAGTTTTTTTGGTTCTCTACTAACCCCCATCGTGTTAGCGGCCACTACATTTTTCGCCACTACTAACCCCCATAGTGTTAGCGACCACTTCATTCTCCGTATGCTCCCAGTCACTGCCAACACAGAGTCTGAAGTTTGCTACGTGCAATAGGTGCTCCTTTGTGAAACTGTTGCATGTAATCAGTTGCTATACATAGTCGGCAACATCGTCAAGGGACGGCAGCAGTATAATACCATTTTCTACGATGGTATACTGCTGCGTTCCTTACTGCAAGTCCAGCGGGCGACTTTCTAAGAAGGCCAACAAGTGTCCGCCGCGCTAGTGATGGGTGATTGGGAGAATGAGCATTTGGTTACACTTTGGAAGTGAATTAAACTATATTTTGAACATTTGTTGCTTCCGACCCTTCGTGTGGAGTGTCCTTGCATACAGTGAAAACCCACGACAGGCTTGTTATATACAGCCTCAAAGTTTGATGTCGCCACCCCTTTAATTGATGCTTTAAACTCGAGGAGTTGCATAAAATATTTTGCCATCTGCCCCCCTCACACCAAATTCCACTTCAGAACAGCCTTTTTCCTGCCACAAAAATCAGAATGTCTATTCTATCACTGATAATGACTGCACATTCAATGTTGGAAATGTTAACTGAAATGTGCCTGCCAAATGCAGGTGTTTCAGTGTGTGCTAAGTGAAATAAACTCATTTAAATTGTGAACTTGCTTCTTAATCCTGCTTCTTGCAGTGGAAAAGCTTGCACAGGTACCGGCAATAGCTTCCGAGGAATCCACTTTTGTATCTTCAGCATCAAACATGTAATTTATAAACTTGTGTAGTAGTGAAATATTTTGGGACTTGTCTAGTAAATTGCCAGGGTGAATGTGTTAGCAGTATTGAAATTTCATTCTTCAATATTATTGCCAAACAGGCCTTCAGGATGCATTATGTGCATGATGTCAATCAAGAAATTTGGAAATGCAGCCTTTGATCAGAAACAGTGCATGCATAGTAGGTATTGCTGTGTAGGTTGACATAGTTTTGCAAACTGTGAAACTTGCTGGTAGATATAAAATTTCGTGAAACAAAAAAGTGATATCGCAAAGTGAATAGTTGGAATACATAAAATGATAAGGAGAGCAACTGATTATGTAGGGTTTGTCTCGTAATGTTTTTAAGCGAGTTCATAAATCGCATGCGCGTTAGAATCGAGTACGAACAAAAAAATTACGGTCAATCTATTGCCATCGGCAAATCCAAAATGGCCGCCCCCTACATGCTTCGGCATGGCGCGTCGGCCATTTCTGCCTATGTGTTTCCCATGTGCGGCACTTCGTACGTGTGCTGAGGAGTTCGTCATCTAGTAGTGCATTTGAATCACCGGCGTGGATGGGCCGACTCCCAAAACTCGAGTGCACCACGAAGCCGCTTTTAAAAGAAAAGTCATCGCGTGTGCAGAAACGGACGGAAATCGGGCCGCATCGCGGTCGTTCGGAGTTCCCGAAACGTGCGTGCGGGACCGGCGGAAACAAAAGCAGAAGATTGTCGACAGCAAAACTTCACGCAAAGGCTTCTGTGGACCACACCAGGGTCGGTTACCGCAAATTAAAAAGCTGCTCGGCGACTATGTGCTTGAGCAGCGAGCCGCACAGCGGCCCGTGACGACAAAACTGCTCCAAGTGTGGGCTATGCAGTTAGCCTTAGAAAAAGGGCTAATGCGGAGCCAGTTTAAAGCGAGCAGGTGCTGGCTAACTAACTTTATGAAGAGGAAAGGCTTTTCTCTCCGAAGGGGAACATGCATATGCGAAAAGTTTTGCGGAGGAGTACGATGAAAAGCTTTACAGTTTTCAGAGGTTCGTCCTAAACTTGCGGCGCAACAACGGCTACCTGCTTGGGCAAATCGGGAATGCCGATCAGACGCCTCTTTACTTCGACATGCCTGGCACCACAACCGTCGAGAAGAAGGGGGCGAAGCAAGTTCGCGTGCTGACATCGGTCCACGGTAAAACTACAGTGACTGCAATGCTCTGTTACACGTCAGATGGGAACAAGCTTCGCCCGTACCTCATATTTAACTGGAAGACGCTCCCGAAAGGAGTCGTTTTTTCGAGTGGTGTGATCGTGCGGGCCAGCGAGAGAAATGGGTGCGCGTTGCAATTGATGTCTTACGTTTTTTTTTTTTTTTTTTTCGCGGTGGAAATCGGGTGCGCGTTACAATCGAGGGCGCGGTAGAATCGAGTAAATACGGCACATAAAATGATAAGGAGAGCCACTGATTATGTTGGGTTTGTCTCGTAATGTTTTTATATGAAGCATATTCTCAAGACAGTGTACCAGTAGTCATGAGAAAGCGTCGAGGCCCCGCCGATACAAGATAAGTGGTAATTTTATTGAAGGCACATCAATGTTTCAACTGACTGTAACTGCGATGCCTAAATTTAGATGGTGGAGCTTTTGAAATTACTGTAGGCGCGAACTGTCGTTGTAGCGGCAAGCCGCTACGTTGCTAAAACTTTGACATATGCAAGGGCCGCACGTTTATGTCGCCTTAAATTTGCTTGACCCTGACGGTTACAATTATCGCTCCTCACACACCCTTCACATCTGGACAGCGAGGGAATAGTGTGTCTTGAAACAGAAGTTCTTGCAGCGGCAACGAGCTGGTCCTGAAGGCAAGCAACAGTGTGGGTCCAGCAGGGCAGAGTGCCCTGCGGAAACTCCTGTTTCAAGATGTGCCGTCAACCCCTGAATTACTTTTCCACAGCTGATGCGAGGCTCCGCAAAGTGAAGTTAGAAATGTAACAGGTCACATTCCCTACTTCATTTTTAGTATATTATTTGTTTTTGAGGCCTACGTGTTCCTGATCGTCTGTTGGTCGTCTGACAGAAAGTCGGATGATCAACATCAATTCCACTCGACTCTCGTGCTCATTATGACCAGTGTGTTGCCTCGAGATATTAAAACACTGTGAATAAGTCAGCGCACGCGTTAAAAGCAGAAACACACACACACACATGAATGCGCGCACTAGTGCGCAGGGACTTCGCAGTGTGCTCAATGTAAACGACGGTGCATCGTTTCGCTATGTGGGTAAGTTCTGGCGGCATCTGGTGGCACTTTCGGTCCCTACACATCGATTTTCAGGCCCATGGCACCGCCGTAAGGAAGCGCACCGGTGAGCAGGTACGAAGCTTATATAGAAGGTCGTGTTAATGACATCTTTCATAACTAAACATGCAATTTTAACTTCAAAACTCTTTTTTCTTAAAACACAAATTTTTGCCATTTTTCTCATGTGCCCTCTTTTTTCGGGTACTTCTGGTGCTCGGACCTGCATGAAATTTCGCCCAAAATATTTCCAATGTATCAGAAATGTAAATTTCTGGTTTAAGTTTCATTATTTCCATTATATAATAAAACATTCTATGTAAACCTTTACTAGGACAAAGAAATATGACTTTTTCCACATGTATTAGTTTACGTCTATTACATATTTTGTATGCACTTCCTAATTAGTTTTCGCATTGTACCCTTTATTTGAATTATTATGAACTATCAATGTCAGGAAATTATGGAAGTTTAGTGATGGAAACAGAGGTGGGGGAGGCAAAAGACGTAATGTTTTCACTTAGGGATGTTGCAGGACTAAAATAATGCAATTTTCAAGATGCCTTAATTATATACTTGAAATCGGCATTAAAAGTTTTACCAACAGCTCCAGTTTCATCGCTTTAAAGTGAATATTAAAAAAAGTGTCTTCGAGTAGCATCTTTCCTTAGAAAGCCCTGAATTTTCTTTTATAGCTTATAGCAGCACCCATCACAAATGAGAACACAGTACATAACAAAATATTGTATTCTTGAACATTTTTTTTCCTTAATTATCAAGCATGCTACCATAAACTATGATAGCTAACCAACTAGCCCAACAGTATCGCCATTTTTGCTACAGTGAACATTCTTCATGAAGATTAATTGGTTTGTGCCCTACACGATAGCTGGACATCTCTTGCAGCAACTATAGACACTTTATACTCTAATTAGAAAAGGCTCTCATTAAAAAAATTCTGATCGAGGCCATCAATACTGAACAGAACATTTTCGAATAGTGTGTTCAGAGCTGAGATGAGTCTCCACATTGCTTAACATAAATTATTTCCAAGATCTCATGTGTGATAGTGCTACATCAGTACACAGCTACTAGATGTCAGTAACTGCTTAGCAGTAACTTCATAGTAATGCAGAACACGGTTTGTTTTTATGTCATCTAAAGATTTGTATTACATAATGTAGACATATGGGGCAGTACAATTTCTGTGACTGCTGTGCAAAAGGCCGACCTACCTGGCTCTCCTTGTGTGCTCGACGAAGCTGATCCTTATACTTCCTTGTTGAAGCAAAGCACTCGGAAGACGTTTCAGAGTGGAGTGTATCCGGCTGCATTCCAGCAAAGACATGCATAAAGCACCAGAGAGAAAGCTTGTCAATTACATTGTTCGTTTACTTAGACAAACCTTCATAAGCTGAAATAAACAAGCTTTAGAGGGAAGTGCCTAGCTGGCATTTTAATTCTTGCTACACACACTGCAGCCACCCCAGAAAAGGAGCACACAAATCTGTATAAAGGCAAGTGATGCTCAAGTGAGAATTTCATTTTGCAACATTAGTACACTCAAATCTCATTATAATACAGTTGCATATTACCCAAAAATAAATTAATTGGAATTTGTTATAAAGTATATTCAATACTGTTCTTCATTTACTTCGTTATAACCGATTTTCTGTTATATCTTGGTTCGTTACAGCGAGGTTTGAGTGTATTACTACAACTTTGAAACACCTTCAGCATACTCGGTTTGTGAAACATCTCAAAAGTGGTTCACATTTTCACAAAAAACATCGTGAATACACAAAAAAAAATGCTGATGGGCTATGTTCACTTGCCTTGCCATGAACTGGGCAGTTACATGTGCACCTTGGCTTTCCATCTGATCCCTCTCCTGAAAAGGATGACGTAGGTGAAACCCTGTGCAACCACTACCTACAGCATGCAGTTAGTACTGCCAGGCAGAGGAAAGTTAGAAGGGTTAGTGGCACTACCTTGAATAAACTGAATGAATCTCTCAAGGTCAGTGATCTGGGTCTTCAGTTGTGAAACCAGCTGCTCCTTCATTTTGACAGGGTTGACCATCTGAGTCATTTGTAAGAAGCATTAAGAATAATGTTGCTTGCAGCCTGCGAGCAACTTAATTTGTCAATATGATGCCTTTGCAGATCCTTTAACATTGCGACGGTTAGGCAAAGTAATGGTCTACAGCTGAAGATAGGAATTCATGCATGCACAAACAAACTTCAAAGGGTAAAAGTAGCCAGACTTCACAAATGCATGCTGAGCCTTAAGTGAATGATGCAAGTTGTAGCGAGAGCTCAGACAGGTAAAAAATGCAGTAAGAAGAAGCGTTGAAGCATGCGCCAAGGAGAAAGTAGAAAAACAGACAAATGAACAGACCTCTCGAACAGCTTGATCGATTTTCCTCCGCAAGTCGTCAGGGTCGAGGAGATCCAACTCATCCAGATTAAGTGGAAGCCTCTCTTTAAGATGCTCTATGATGACTGACTGACGTTCCAGGAGCATGCTGGATGGCATGCCTGCATCGCCCGTCTACACAGCAGAGAAAACAAGCTCCATTGTTCCTTTTATCACTTGGACTTATTACAGTGACTGCAGATAGAAACAGTGCCATCAAAAGTTACACAATACTGAGCCAATACTGAGCTAATACAAAGGCTCATTTCTAATTGTTTGTTCCTTCATAGCAGTGGTACAAATTTTATGTATGCACCTCATAACTGTTCATTAAATGTCTCCCTGTTTCTTAGAAGCATGCCGCAAAATGGAAAATTACAGGCTTGTCTGCGCCACCAACAAGACATGATATATTAGAAGTCGTTCTTACAGACACTGGCGTAAATTACTTACTAGTCTCTCGGCAAAGGAGATACCAGTGAAGTCTTGAAAGTACAAAGCCTACTTTGACATAGGTTGGTGTTATAGCATGTGACTTGTCCATAAAAACAGAGGCACACATAGAAATAGAAATTCAATATATTCACCATAACTTTATACTATATTGAATAGCTCACCTCAAATGCATACTTCTCAAGGTCCTCAAGCTGTTCTTTCAATTGCTGAATAAGTTCCTTCTGTTTCTGTCGCTGCTGTTCCAACTTTTCCTCTTGTTCTTGTTCCGTCTGCAACAATAAAACAATAACAGTGAGTATATAAATGTCACAGTAATATAAATGAACTATGAGATGAAATGTTAAAGATGGATCATATAAAGTTTTTCAGCTTTTTATGAAGTAAGCTTGGTATGATTACAGAGGTAAGGCTTGAGCAGCAAGTTTCAGTGAGAGATTCAGAGCAGTATACACTACGTGGGGCAGGAAATGCTGCTTCAAAAAATTTGTGAAGTGGACTTGTGTACATTTCCTTCAGCCACACTTTTAGGCATTTATGATGCTTGATGATGCCAAAGTAGGCTCAAATTTTTTAAGAATATCTTGCGTAACTCTGCATGTTATAGTTGGATATATCTGCCACAGCATGTAACACTGCCAGTGACAAGCGTTTGCTAAGTTGTTGTTCAACTGCTCCTAATTTGCCAATGAAATTCCACACTATAAATACTTTACGGCAAAAATGTGACGGTGGCAACACACCTCTGAGAGCAAGATGCCTACTCCAGTTTGACAAGCCCGCAAGTCTGGGATTCCACGAAAGGCAAACTCTTCAAGTTCTTTCAGCAGTTCCTGTAAAGGCATATATGTAACAATGCTTTGCAGTGAAAAACTCACGAAGGATAAATTATCTCTACTGAGATGACGCTCACCAATATCACAATAGCAGAAATGAGAATTCTCCTATACAAAAGCAAGGATCGCTAAACAGATGTACTGTTATGGGACAACCAGCATAGTATTCTATAAACAGAAAAGATGATGAAATCTTGCTGCAACTCATTGAACGGGCACTACCATTACTGGAATGTATCTTGAGAGAAATTGCAGTTTGGGTCAGTTGGGCTGAGGTCCTACTCTAACTGGAAAACAAGGCCAAAGAAAAAGAGAAGGAGCATTTAATTTTTTTCTGTGATTTCCCGATAAAGAAACAGCATGTTTAAGGGGACCGACAAGAACTCTGAATTACCCAAACTCAGAATTATCGAATTTATCAAAAAAAAAAAAAAACAAAGAAACATCTATTTCATCATGCGCTTTTATTTTCTTGAGGAATACATAAATCCAGTACTTATTTTGAAAAACAGCTATGTAAGCTGCAATTTTCATCATTTGCGACCTTAAACCACAGATCAAGACCTCCATGTCTCAAAGTTAAATGCGGTCCGAGCCCAAGTAATAACAACGCAATTGTGGAAGGTGGCCACTGCCAGTCAGAAAGCCCATGGCCCTTTCAGCTGTCCATAAATTTTGTTTTCGTTCCTTTGCATCACGCACTGGTGTGCTTTGAAGATCATCTGACTTAACCACGTGAAAGTGCTCAACTTTGGCCAGTGTAGCTGACACTACAGAACTGTGCTCAGTACACCACTTGTGCATGATTATGACACCCAACAGGTCATCACAAACATCTTACCTCCTTTTCTTCCTGTGAAGCATTCACAATCTGTCTCAGCCGGAACTGGACTTGTGCAAAGTGCGTTGTAAGTGCGACCAGAGATGTGTTCAGCTGCTCCTGCTCTTCTTCCAGATGCCTCAGGCGCTCGAATTCCGACAGACTGCTGCATCATGGAAATACCTTTAATGTTAGCGAGAAATAATCGTGGCACAGTTCAATAGCATGTCGTTCCAAAGCATGAAAAAAATAATTGCTGAGCTGGATTTCCAAAAAAAAAATTAATCTGTAATTCATAATGACAGCAGAGCTCTTGTAAGCATAAATATGATAAAAATGAGAATGTTTTGAAAATGGTACCATTCCTGTTATTGAGAATGACTGATTCACATAGAGTGGGAAAGAAGCAGCTAATGTGAGGGATACACGCGTAATAGAAGTTTATAATACTTCTTATAGCAATTTTCTACACAACAAGACAATACATTGGTATGCAGAAAAATATGACAGATTCCAAGACAATATGACCTTTTAAGCACTAGCAAGTACAGTAGAGCAAAGGCCTTTCCTATCTTGAGTAAAACTGTCTGTTCTACAATCATGCTAGATGCACAATGAAAACAATGAAAAGTGCAACATTTACAAAATGCCAATCTCAAGTATTCTTGATGACTTGGTACATGGTACTTCAATATAAATGATGAAAGCTCAATAGTGAAGCTTTGCACAAGTATTTTCATGAGAACCTGAAGAACCTCAAGGTCCACGAGGACCTCAATAGTCTAACTACTTTACGCGAGGTCAGAGTTGACACTTGATGGGAAACACCATATTTAAACCCATGATGCATCACAGTTCCAACACAAAGAGCACCATTTCGTTGAGCATAAGTAGAGTAATGCTTTCCATGAAATAAATTTAGGTTGAAAGTAAAAAATATTTGCTTCAGAATTATCAGTGTTTGCTTGGATAAACGGCCCCAAATGGGGTCTCGGGAAGTGAAATCGATATTATGCAAAAACTATTTATTTCAGTTTGCTCCCTTTTTGATTCAAGCTTTCTTTACTGAAAACAAGATTCAAGAAGTAGCTAAAAAGAGAGAAAGATACCACGTTTCAGGGTCATCCCAGGCATCGTCAATCTCGCTTGAGCCAACAGGCGCCCACCTCTCAGGAGGACGATCATCATCTGGACTCTCTCGACCAGTGTCATCCAAGGAAAGCGATTCCATTTGAATAACCTGGTAGAAAAATTTGCCAACAATGAGCTCTCGCTTGCAAGCCTGAAAAAGTTCCACATTTATATAGACTAAAGATATGCATATGTGCACAAGAGTCTAAATTTATGCTACACTTGATTAAATTTGATCTGCACCATGTAACTTCTAATAATAATAATATCCATTCAATAATTTGGCTACTATTTGCGAATTGGTGCAGAGGCATCAGCTACAAAGATGTGGGGGCTCACCCCTTTCTATATCGAGGCAGCATACCTTGGCAGTCCTAATTATCAGCTGCATATATAGCTTTAGACATAGTATAACCTTGAAATGGGCAAGTGCACAAACTATCTTTTAGACTTTGATCACAACGACTATTTCTTTTGTTTACCTCACACAATGAACCACTATACGGCTTGATTTTTGACTTCCGCATCTCCAGCAGTGTATACTTTTATTATCCAATCTTGAGTTTGGTAATCGTGTTGATCCCGATCGGGCTAGTTCGCAAGTGTCGATCGTGTAGCAGCACCTCATGCGGATCGGCCCCGATCGCGATCGAAATTTCCCACGAGACACCGGTACTACTGTTGATCCCGATGCCGTACGGTGTGGCACGGTGTTCTGAAAGGAGTTTGCCGCATGCGCCATCGAAATCTTGATGCCGACAGGGCGTGATCGTGATTGAAAGCGTCAGCGTAGCAGTGCCCGATCCGAATCGAGCATAATCCAGATCGGCATTTGCTCCTTCAGACTAACGCTCGGCATTTGATGCTGCACTTTCGTGGCATTTGCGGACATGCACTTGTCCACAAGAGTGACAGCTGTGCCAGAGTACACCGAGGGCAGCGCATCCCGAGACACAAATGGAGAAAATGAGAGAAAGTACTTGACGTGCGCAGCTTTAAAAAAAAAATTACACTGGGAACGCCTCTAGTTAAGCGTAAACCAGTATATTCAGCAGTACGTTAACACGGACAAACTTAGAACAAATGAAAATTGGTACGCAGGGTCAGAGGGTGAAGATGAAATGAGTGCATATATACAAACAATGTTTTAATGCTTGTGAAGTGAAAGTCGCAATATAGTGCATATTGGCTGATTCCAAAGTTTCGTAATTTGTTTGTGCAAATTCCTTTTACCAGCTTACGCATTACAAGTGATCTAGTCATATGTTTCTGCGGCACACGGCGATCGCAGGCGTCTGGCTACTGGATTAACACACTGCACACTTTCTGCTAACGAAACAAAGGTTCACTAAACGTTAAACGAGCTACACGCTGATAATGCGGTGCTTAACATCAAACACAGAGATCGGCCAGAGTAGGGTATGGCGCGTCAAACATCGTTTCTAACTGCTTCCCGGCTCAAAGAGCAGGCGAGAATCGAGATACATTGAGCAAAAACCCTTGCCTCGGTATCCATCAAAAACGATCCTTGGGTGCTACGGCAAAGTGTAGACGAGTCGTTCCTCGGAACGTCTTAAGGCAACCTGCAGCACGCGCACAGATGTTTCAACAGGCCTGCACCCTCGAGCAGCGAACAATTATGTTTATTTTTGTTTCGGGTCGTCGTCATGGCTGCTCAACGTCATTGTGACGTCACTGAAACAAAACCGAAAGTGCTTTTTGTAGCTATGCACGGAGAAAGGAAGCTATGGCTGGCCATGGCGCCTGCGATTGGGAGCTTCTGGAGTTAATCTCGATGGCTACCTTATAGTTTTGTGATTACCTATTGGGTATTATAGTACACTGTAGATTAGCTATCGTAGTTGATCGTCAATCCTACGCTGTAACAGCGTTTTATAAATAAAAGACACAGATACTCGAGGTCATTGCTTTGCTGGCTGCGTGCAGAAGGAAGCACGTTCGTCAGGACACAATGAAGTGAATTAGCCCGCATAAAGTCTGAATTCACGATAGTCATACAGTGGCTTGATTATTGATCTCCTAAAGCACAGCCTCCTAGATTTCTTTTGCCATAGCCTCCCAGATTTGTTTTTATGCCTGCCAGATTATCGGCAGCCACTTGAAAAGCGGTCGTTGTCGGAACTATGGTGGTGGCACTACCTAAGTAGGGGTGTCTTCAAATAAGTTTTTACAATTTTGGAGCTTATATGCAACAAAAATAACGTAAAAAAGTTTTAAAATGCGTACACGTAATTATAATTAACCTTACGTAAGTGACGCCGTTATAGATAACAAGCGTTTTTTGCTCATTCAGCAGCCTCTAAAATTAGTAACAAATGCCAAAATTGCCCATCTCAAAGGCCGCGTACAAACTCTTACTCCTAAGTAGGTAGCGCCGCCATAAGTGATGGGCGTTTCACGCTCATTCGACAGGCAAGAGAAGTCTAGGAGGCTTTACTTTTGCCTGCTGGATTATTGGTGGTCATTTGAAAAGCAGCCGTCATTGAAACTGCGGTGAGGGCGCCACTTAAATAGCGTTGTCTTCAGTTTTACGTTTTTTGAACTTTATATGCAAAAATAACGTAAAAAATTTTAAAAGGCGTAAACCTAGTTATAGTGATTTATAATTACCCCACGTAAGTGATGCCACCATAAATGACGGGCATTTCGCGCTCATTCAACAAGCAACCCCTTTAATACAAGGCATAGCCTCTAAAATTAGCAAACGTCAAAGTTGCTAATTTCAAAAGCCAAGTACAAAGACCCCTAGCCCTACGTAGGTAGCGCCATCATAGATGACGGGCGTTTTGCGCTCAACCAACAGGCAAAAAAAATGTAGGAGGTTATGCCTAAAACATAATTGACAGCACATAACAGCAGACAAACGACTACTATTGGTGGAAATGGTAGTGTTCATGGTTTTCATCAAGAATGTGCTCTTTATGTTTGATCAAAGCCTCCTCTCGTTGGTTTAACGCAGTAAGCCATTGAGTTTTATACAATAATTGACCTCCATTAAAAAGTAGAGATCAGTGCATTTTTCCTTCTTCGTCGTTGAAGTCATCATAGAAATTCAGAGCTTTATTTGAAGCAGAAACGTTGCTAGTGTCCTCTCTCGGTGATAGTGGGCATTAGAAACGCACCTGGCGAGAGCACCTGGACCAATCCTCCAATCGCGTGCTGCCGGTGCTCGCAAACTTGTTTGCTTCCCCCTCGACCGTCTGCGTTGCTGGCGGCTTGTGGCGCGAGAGGCAAAGATAGCCTGGTTGGCAGTGGGGGGGTCGTGCACGGGACACCGAAACAGTTGCATTGGTCGGTAGGTGGGGCACCCCCAGGCGGCGACCAGTTACCTCTCCAATTACGCTGGCACTCCACGACTCCCCGCATTGTCTCTCCGCGTGCCGAGCTGTGCTTGTTCCGCGTTATGTGCCCCTAATGAGCGCCCCTTGCTTGCTACCGATGGTGTGGGAAGTGCACAACGGCTCTGCGCGGTCATGGTGATTAGATAACAAACTTGAGGCCCGCAGTGGTGGCGGCCTGCCAGCATAGCTGCGGAGTCGATCGGGAAAGTTCCTCGACTGTGTTGTGTGTCGCGACTCATCAGCATGCCGCTCTTCGGTAAGAAGAAACGAGACTCGGACTCCCTGTCCCCGGACGGCGACGCAGATGCCAACGGTGCCGCACCGGGTGGATCGCCGACGGCGAACGGCAGCGGAGGCGTGCACACAGCTTCCTCTCCCGCCGGTTCCACGGTGGACGGTCTACCCAAAAGCATGCCCAAACCTAAGCTGGTGTTCCACTGCCAGCAAGCGCAGGGCAGCCCGACCGGCATAATCTCCGGCTTCTCAAACATCAAGGAGCTCTACCTGAAGATAGCCGAGTGCTACGACTTCCCGGCTTCAGACGTGAGTAGTAGCAGTAGTAGTGTCGCCTGCACGATGTGATAAATTGAGTAATGTGAAGTGCTACAACTGCTACTGCATTCGCGAAGATCACCCTACTGTGATGTAAAGCCGAGATCAACTCCGAAAGCTCTACTGTAAGGATTGCCAAGTGGCCGGAGCATCGTTTTCGTAATTCGCTTCACAAGCTAGTTTACGAAAGTGCAATGTACTCATGTGGAACCAGACAACACAACATTCGCATTATCCGCTTGAAGTCAGGGCTTGCAAGAGTTTCGTGGTTTATTAGTGTGGCGCACAAAAAATGTATTGCATGTGTAGGACGTAACCACGCGCTGTACGGGCCTGTTTGGCAGTAAGCTTGCGAAGAGGGAGGGGATCACAAGCCAAGCCGGCAAGCGTACGTCGGCCGGACCGGTAGGAAAGTGGAAAATTCGGCTTTGTGCCGGGGGCTACGGCGGGGCTTCCTGCAGCCGTGCAGACTGCACGCTGCGTGCGCCTCGTTGCCCTCCCTGTTTTGCCGCGTTGCTTCACCCCGTTATTTTCTTGTACACAACAAAAGAGAAGGAGCGCGAACGCTTTTTTTTTTTTCGTCTTTTATTATTATTTTTCAAATCGCGCACGCTCGGATTAGGTCACGGCACACGCCACCGTGGCCGCGGATTACAAAAAGCCCGTCGCTGTTGCTTTTGTCGACACGGCCGGCGCTTGGTTCATCGTCGTCTTGCGAATGGTGCGTTGTCGCTGGTGTGTAACTGGGCGTCTGTCGACACGGTTTTGTGCGTGCTGCACCTGCTGACGTCACTTCGGCCGAGTGCGGTCCGCTAGGGTCGAATGGCGTGCCGATTTGGAGGGATCCTGACGTTTTTGATGGCCCCAATGAACGAATGTGCTGGCCAAGTTGGCGAGCGAACTTGGCCCGCACAAAGGGGCGCGCAGTCGGTACTGTTACTGTAAGGTATCATATACAGTGTGATAATGCGCGCGACCTTCTGAAGGTGGGGAGTGAAGGCAAACAACGTACTGTCAAGAAAAACGCACGTACATGCAATCCATATTCGCTAAAGACATCGCAGTTTTGCTTAATAACGATATCGCGAACGTTGGCACCGACAAATCGTCCTAAAGGGGCAACGTGTTCACGAGGTTCTGGAGTTACATGTCCGCGACTACATTTACATTATTATAGCTACGTATTTCTGCCGACTCGATGGTCCACCATTAGTGCATATTAGCTACTTTACCACTCCAGTCGTGCTGCTTTGCAAGATGGCTCCGGTTATATCGCCGTCCACGGCAGAAGGCAGCGATATGGCCATTGCGCAAGGAATTCATTGCATACATGACGTGCAAGACTAATGATGCACCTTGAACTACTCTGGCGAATGATCCCGTTGGCGATGAAGCTGGTTCGAATAACTGATATCTCGCGTGTAGTTGCGGGTTGTTTGTTTGGTGCATGGTGGTGTGGCTAATACATAAATTGAAATTTGCACCGTGCGTCGCAGGTCGGCAAAAAATGTGGAGCGCGCTTGCTCATTATGAAATAAGTTTTACTCTTGAGACTGATTCCCCAAAATTTTTCTCAACCGCACTCGTTCAGACTCAAATTCCCTAAAATATTTCTCAGCCAGACTCACTGGAAATCGGACTCATCAAAATTTTACTCACTTGGACTTGCTCAGACTCAAATCGAACTCATCAAAATCTTACTCACTTGGACTTGCTCACACTCAAGGCTCTGAGTTTGAGTGAACCGACTCATGAGTTCGTTAACGTACAATTGCCTTCTTCGCTCTTTAACACCAATATCTCGCGTTATCGGCGCTGTACTTGGCTTCTTTTGATATCCCACATTCAGATATGAGACATGTGGTTGCAATCCAGTAAGGAAACTTTTATCGAAGTATATTATTCACGTGAGATATTATCAAAAGTTCCCGTGAAAGAGTTACTGCGGGAATGGTGGGGGAGGGGGGACGTCACGGCGCACCCCCTTCTCTTTAATTGGCGCCTCTGATGAATAAATATTGAGCTGGTGTATCAGCTCTGGTTCTTTAAAAGTATGTGCGAGTCGGCGTGGGTATGCACACGAGCCTACGTAAGGCGTATAGTATAGTAAAGTTGAGTAAATAGCATGGTGTTGTTGATCAACACTGCGTTGAAAGGAGCACCAAGTTCAGGACATTAAGTCGACGTTGATTGCTGAAATAGCGGCCCAGAAACCTCGTAGTGCTACTTGCGTGCCAAGAAAGTGCTTATTTTGAAATAAAATCACGTTTGAGTGGTTCGCATCATGTTAGCCCACTTCAAGTCTCCCGTCTGAAAGCGACCGTCTCACAGTCACTGTTGCCGTGCACAACGTTGCCCAGCTTTACTGCGTGGCCGCCGACACCAGTTACAGCAGAGCAAAAGTAGCGGGAGCCACATCAGCAATAACGGCCATTAAACAATTTCCCGACATGGCCTCCGAGATAGCAGTTGTGTTCGGTTCAACTTGGCCCCGCTAGATGGCACGACCTGTCGAGTTTAACCTATAAGGTTCCTAGATAAGAAACTTGTTTCATTTAGGGACCTTAGTTCAACCAGGCGAAAATTAAACTTTTTAACCACTCGTGCCATTCCCCACAATAGCGTCCGGCTGTTCTTTTGTCCATGTATCAAACAGAAACGAACAAGCAGCATTTTATTACGTCTCTTGATGACGGAAGGTTCTTTGTTTGGTGCAGCTAGTTCGATTAATAGTGATTAATTGTAGGCACTCCCTCTGGCGTAATCAGGGATAATATTGTGAATGTCTTCCTCGTGGCGCATATATTCTCGTGCATTTACCTTAATTTCTCGGTAAGTATAGGGCAGTACTGTTGTTTTCATACAATGAGCTTTCACTCTAACATAAATTGTTATTTTCCTTTAGTGGTATTTTTAACAATCATCTTGTATAAATGTGTCAGTGGAATAATTGTGTGCGCACAATTTATGGGCACAATACATTGTAAGCTAAGTGCAATCTTACTGTTGTGCGCCTCCAGCTACCATGCAAGCAGCCAACATTTTATTGGCTTCACTTTCTTCAAAGTTTTCTCAATCGGTGGAAGTGAGAGTCACTAGCTACCAGATTGGAGTATGCCCGTTTCCAATCGGTCTTAGGAGTGTGGCTCAATGCAGTAGTACATTTCTTCAATTTGGCGTCTTGGCGCAGTTCATCGAGGTGGTAAATCTAGGCACGTTGTTAGTCCAGGCCTACGTAAGCGCACTGAAGACGCACGCAACGATTTGTGCACTGTGTGTTTTCGTCTTCAGTGCGCCGTCCGTAAATGTTGTCGCAGTTCGTCAGGAGCAAATTGGGGCTTACGGAAGGAAGTCAACACACACTCGGATAACCAGCTATATCCCAACTGGTTTAACGTTGCAAAAAGTAGCCCGTAGGCCTAATCTTTATAATATAATAATTGTTGGGGTGTTAACCATGATATTATTCTGATAGACTCCGCAGTGTAGAATTTCGGACCTAAATATCGACACGCGTCTTGAGCACGTAGGCTTCACCGACATGCGGCTTCCGCGACACGGTTTCGAACCCGCGACCATCGAGCCTGCACACCAGTGCCACAAGCTCTAGACCAGCGTGGTATAGGTTAAGCCTCTGGTTAAGCGTAATTGTGGCGCACGCACAACACAGACGCACGTGTTATCCGTATAACATTGCCAGATGTCAACGCCCAGCGTCAGCAACGCCGCTATCGGAATGCAACGAAAATGAAATTTACGCTGACACACGCTCGCCCTTTCACATTGATAACAAATGCCTCCTATTTCGCCCAAGCGTTCATTATTTACGCGATAGTGCTAGAGAGTTTGTTTCGCTGAAATTCCGGTGTTGGCGTCGTTGGTTGTGTGCGAAAAATCATCTTGTCCGTGAACGAAAAAATCGGAAGATGCGAATAAAACAACAGCAATTTCCGTCTTGAAGTGAGAACCAAACCCAAGTTTTCTGCGTGGCAAGCAGATCTTCTACCACAGAGCCACTTCATTGCTTGAAAGTGAAAAGAAACGCAGTAGACGCTTGGCAACTGTAGACATTCTAGGATAGTTTGAACAAGCGTTGCTTTCCTTGTCATACATGCGCACGATGTCCGATTACGCAGTCGCGTTTACCCTTGTCTTCCCAGTTCTATGGCTCCCCCGCTGCGCTTGCGTCCGCGTATAGGCATGGTCTCGCGTTCACTGCAGGCGAAACCGTTACAAAACTGCCTCGGGACACGCGACTAAAGGCTGAGTAATTGGCCAACTTGCTCGTAGGATCGAGTCTGTTGGCACAACATGATTATACGAGTGCAAATCAGCGCTATACCGACAGGAAGCGACAGAATAGACGACCGTCTCCCCTCTTGTCGGTTGCGCTGGTTTGCACTCGTAGCACAGAACGAACTTGCATGTAAGCAGTGTGAGCGGAGATCACAACAGTAGGCTGTACAAGATGCGACAGAACGGTGAGTATGAGAGCACGCAAAAGTGAAAATAGCTCTCGTTACAGCGGTGGCAATACGACGACCATGTATACTCTCAAATTAATACAAGAAACGGCTTGGCTTATGGATTACTGGACAAGTTATAATAATAGTAAACGAGATATAAATTATACAAGACATCTGTTATCACGAAATTCTGATGACGTCACGGTGACGGCATCGCGTGATCTCGTCTCTTTTTTTGTCATCACTCGTATGTTGGCGCTGCGATCCCGGTCGCCGCATCGGAGCCCTCCACAGTGGCGTCCCTCATGATCGTATTGTTCTTATGGGGCGGAAAATTCCAGATTTTATGCTGGAACAATTGAGGTGTGCGAGCGGGCTACTTGGTATTCCATATTTTTTTACAGCTGGAGCACAACAAAGGTGTACACAGCTCACGAAGGGGACAACGGGTGCTCCGCTTGACCTCGCTGTCCCCTTCGTTCGGTGGCCACCTTTTTGCGATTCAGCCGTAAAGAAAGAGATATG